ATAAATTAGTAAAATATTAATTAAACTAAATAAAATTTGTGTGATTTTATTAAAATATTATGTGACCATAATCAAAATTCAAACGCCCAATCAATAAAAATAAGTGTTTGGTAATTAATTATTTTCAAAACCACTACAAAAGTAAGTATTTGATACAAATTTTGAGATGAAATAGGCTAGAGCCTAAAACAAATATTATTATTATAAGTAAAATAATAAAATCTTACTATATTATAAAAAATTTTAATATCTTCAATAAATTTTAAGTAAATTTAATAATTTTTTTAAAATCTTCAATAAATATTAAATAAATACCTAATTAATTTTTTAAAATCCAAACTTATCATATTTTTATAATAATCTTTTCATGATATTTTCAATAATAGTATTTTAGTATGCATTCTCAATATTAATTATATTATACGTAAAATTTTAATCAAGTACAGCAACACACTACAAAATCAATTCTTTAAGACAAACAGACAATCTAACTGTGAATTTAAGTAGCGGTTTCTTTAAATTATGCCCTAAGGGTACTATTAAATATATTTTTTCTTCATAAATTTGTATTAAAAATAAAAGTTAATATTTAATTTATTAATTGTCTAATGAAATTTACCTACTTAACACTGATACTAAAATTAATATCAATTTTTATAATTTTTTATATATATTTATAATAAAAAAATATTTTTAAGGATACAAATTTTTTTTTAAAAAAAACCTTTTAGTAAAAGATTGAGATTAACCAAGGGGGCTGACTGCAACTCTAATTACAACATTAATTTTTTTTTTTGTTTAGACCACCCGATATCTGAAAGCTCACTAGACTACTGATTAATCTGGATTCGAGTTGAGCAGGACTCAACAGGCAGTAAAACTCTACCTCACGAGTTTTAACGGAGTTGTATTTTCAAGATTTGAAACCAAAATATCTGATTAAGTTGAAAGAGTCCCCTATCAACTCATCCACCCACTCGTAGGTCTAATTACAACATTAATAAAAACATGTAAACAGTGCAAGAAAACAAAATAATTGGTCGTCATCAGTATTTACCAATAATAGTTAGACAATACCCGTGCCATTGCATGGGGACATATAATAAAATTAATTTATATTTTTAATTTTTATAAATTTTATTTTCAATATAAAATATTGTTTATTTGTAAAAATTAAATATAAATTAAAGTTAATGTAAAATATATTTGGGTAATTTTTTAATATATATTAATGTTTTTTAATAAAAAATTGTAAAAAAATTTCATTTATACTTAAACCTATTTTCACACCTTAATTTAGAATACTACTTTCCTTTTTATACAAATAAAAGGATTTTTATAATATCAAAAATAAAGAAAAAAATTTATAAATGTCTGGGTGGAGGGAAATATAGATGCAATACCCTAAATCCGATATTAGTGGGGACTTGTAAGTAAACTTGGTATATAATTATAAAAACTAACCACTATTAATAACTTAAGTATGAACTTTTGAGGACCCATAAACTTTGTTTCAAAGAGTTATTAGGTCAATAGCGGATTTCAACTCAAGTCATTTTAGAAAGGGAGGAAAGATTTTTTAATCAATCAAATTGTAATGTTTTTTAAATATTGCAATTTGATTACTCAAAAATTTTTCCCCTCCCCTCAACCCAAACATATTATTAATTAAACATTTGTAATGGAAATGAGAAATACTAATATCTTAAAAAAGAAGAAGTCATACCAACAACCTATTGGTCCGAGTGGAAGAAACTCAGTTCCCCTTAAGTAAGATCTCGAGTTTGAGTCTTGTGAATGGAAAAACAGGTGCTGGGAGAGCTTCCCCCCATATGGGGTCCGACCCGGCTCGATTCTGGATTAGTCAGGGTCCAATGTGGTTTCTGAATACCAAAAGGTTAGTATAAAAAAAAAAAGAAAAGTCATTACTTACTTTTTTTTCTTCTTCTTTTTGAGAAAAAATGGATAAAATTATATTAGTACAAAAAACGAGAGTTCATTAAGGTTGTTTTAAAAAGTGAACTTCTAGTACATAAATAAGATAAAATGCAATCACAAAAAATGAACATTTATTAAAAATGACAAAAGTTAAAAAAGGTGATATTCCTATCTTGAGAAATTGGTTACTACACATATGGCTATCACTATTGACATGTTGCAATATTAACTTAGAACAAAATTCATCATAAGTTCTTTATAATTCAAAATGTTAAAAATATAGGCAAACAATAATTAAATGGTATAAATAGATTCAAACCCAATGTTAATTTTAGAAAATCCCTTAATAACAATAAACTTAAAGGTTATTCTCTATGTTTTAAAATTTAACACTTATTATATTAGTAATGCCTATATTCCTGACAAACCCCATAATCTAATTGTCATTATGATCTTTGAAGATCTCTCCTCTACTAATAGGTTTGAGAAAGGTAGCCCCTAGTACTACTATTCAATAAAATATAGAGGAGGTTTATACCAGTAAAATATACCAAGTTACCTATTAGATAAATCAGATTAAATAAAAAAATTAACTAAAATTTAATAGTTTTATAAATAATAATAGAAAGTCACTTAGAATCTTAAAATAAGAAGTCTTATAAAACTTGTCATTTTTTTTATTAAATTTCCCAAATAATGAATAAAAACAAAACAATCCAAAGAATTTTGACATAAGAGAATCATCCATGCATTTACCTCTTGTTTGATTTAAGGGAGATAAAGTCCCCTCCACTTGTTTGGTTAGACTAAAATGTAGAAGAAGAAGAAGAAGAAGAAGAAGATTTTTTTTTATTTATTAAATTTCCCAAATAATGAATAAAAACAAAACAATCCAAAGAATTTTGATATAAGAGAATCATCCATGCATTTACCTCTTGTTTGATTTAAGGGAGACAAAGTCCCCTCCACTCCTCTCATTTCCCCTTCAATTTTTTATTATCCAAATAGAGAAGTTTTTCTTCCTTTCTTCTCCCTTAAACGAAAAAAGACGAAAGTTTTCTTCCTTTCTTCTCCCTTAAACGAAAGAAGAAGAAGAAGAAGAAGAAGAAGAAGAAGAAGAAGAAGAAGAAGAAGAAGCCCCTAAAGAAAAAGAAGAAGCCCTAAACCCCTCTCTTCCTCTCATTTCCCCTCCAATTTTTTATTATCCAAATAGAGAAGTTTTTCTTCCTTTCTTCTCTCTTAAACCAAAAAAGACGAAGAAGAAGAAGAAGAACCCCTTTCTTACCCTCATTTCCCCTCCAATTTTTTATTATCCAAATAGAGAAGTTTTACTTCTTTTCTTCTCCCTTAAACCAAAAAAGACGAAGAAGAAGAAGAAGAACCCCTCTCTTACCCTCATTTCCCCTCCAATTTTTTATTATCCAAATAGAGAAGTTTTTCTTCCTTTCTTCTCCCTTAAACCAAAAAAGACATTAGTTTTAACTCTTAATCTATCAATAAAAGAACCAATAGCATTCTCAGTATTTACAACATGGATGATTTTGTTCCAAATTCTCAATAAGTATGAATATTTTAATTGTTAGTATGGAGATATTAGCAATGGGTATTAAGGCCCCATGCAATGAGGAGCACTCCCCATCCCCATGGTGTTTTTTTGAAGGGGAAAAAAAATCTTGTCTCATCCCAATTTACAAAAATTTATAAAATTTATCATATGATTTTTTTTCTTTACAATATTAAATGACATATGTGTTGAGCACTTAAGTTAGATTTGAATCACATAATGAATATTGGGTTTTGTCATTAAAATAAATGATAAATTAAGTAAATACATTGAAATTTGTTAAAGTATTAATTGAACCCAATTTACAATAATTTATAAAAAAATTATTGTATTGTTAAGGACACATTAAGTGGAGTCCCCATGAGAAGAAATGGAAATTGCCACCTTTAAATAATATATTTGGTTTGAAGGAAACATATGAAAGAGAACAAATGAGATTTTTTTTTCCTTTTAGGCAACTTTCTTCCTATAAAATGAGAGGCAACCCCTCTTTCATTCTTTTGCATGCCATGTGATTCGAATTCCAAAACTCTTACTTCCACTAGAAAGAAATTACCACTAAATTATGTAGGTCATTGGCAAAAGAAATGTGTTTTATAACAAATCAAATTATCACATTTTTAAATATAACAATTTAATTGGTTGACAAATCCATCACTTCTCTTCTTTCAAACCAAACACACACTTATGAGAGATTTTGCAAAAATCCTTCTTAAACCCCCAAACTTACCCCAAAATAGTATTTAAGCCTTTAAACTAAAAATGAAGAAGATAAGCCCTCCAACTCCACTAACAATGCAAATAGACCCTTCCCACAAATGGGTCAAACAGTATTTTATGTTAAATATCACCTTGAAAACATGGACATCCATGAATTAGAAGAGTTTATTTGCATTATTAGTAGAGTTTGAGGGCTTATCTACTTCATTTTTGGTTTAGGGGCTTCAATGCTATTTTTGGTTAAACTTAAGGGCTTAAGAAGGGTTTTTGCTAGAGATTTCAAATTATAAAACAAAAATATTTTTTATTGTAAAAGTTAAGTTTTGTAGACAATTTCAAATCTTTTTTGAACTAAAATATTAAATTAGAATATTACTACCAAAAGTTAAATATTAAGGAGTGTATCTCTAAATTAAAACTAATTTAAAACTTATAATATTAAAAATAAATATAGAATATTAGATATGACACAAATAAGGAATAAAACATTACTCTAAGAAGAAACAAAAAATACTCTATCAAAAATTGAACATAATGTCCACCAACATAGCACAACTAATAAAGTAGCATAAAAATATAATATGAAATGTGTACTTTAATTATGAATTCTAAAGTATTGAAACATGTAAATTGAAGTAGATAAGCCATCTAACTCTACTAACAATGCAAATAAGACTTTCCCACAAATGGGTCAAACAGTATTTTATGTTAAATATCACCTTGAAAGCATGGACACCAATGAATTAGAAGAGCTTATTTGCATTATTAGTGGAGTTTTTGAGGGCTTATCTGCTTCTTTTTTTGTTTAGGGGCTTAAATGCTATTTTTGGATAAATTTAGGAGCTTAAGAAGGGTTTTTGCTAGAGATTTTCAAATTGTAAAACAAAAATATTTTTTGTGTAAAAGTTAAGTTTTGTAGAAAATTTCAAATCTTTTTTTTAACTAAAATATTAAATTAGAATATTACTATCAAAATATTAAATAGTAAGGAGTGTATCTCTAAATTGAAACTAATTTAAAACTTATAATATAAAAAATAAATATAGAATATTATATATGACACAAATAAGGAATAAAACATCACTCCAAGAGGAAACAAAAAATACTCTATCAAAAATTAAACATAATGTCCACCAACATAACACAACTAATAAAGTAGCATAAGAATATAATATGAAATGTGTGCTTCAATTATGAATTCTAAAGTATTGAAACATGTAAATTACTAATAAGTAAATATATATACAAAATTAAGAAGGAACATAGAAGTAAATACTTTTGAGAAAATT